TTAGAGCCCTTGAATTGTAGAATCCTAGGTCCTATGCCCTATGCCAGCTCAGCTAAGCTTACGCTTAGACCTAGGGCCTAGGCCTAGGCGAAGGCGCACAAACCCCACACCGTCGGCCTCTGCAGAGGGGTCTCGGTTGTCTCCGTATCATACGGAAGGTTGAACCCAGAGGACTGCTCCATGGTCACGACACCAGGCTCAAAAGCAAGGAAGGCTTCATACGTGTCCCCGAAAGTCGCGCTGTACGCAGCATGATTCTCTGTGCATGACTTCTGGAAACGCTTCCCAGTCAACTTGGAGAAAGGCTGGCACGGTGTTCCTAAGACCATTGAGTGGATACGTTCAGGATGTCTGCAAGGCACTCCTGGCACATCCTTGTGCAACAAGCACTTATTCCCTGCAATCTGTGCGGTTGCTCTCTCATACATATGTTTCACTTCATGGTTCGCAGCCTGGAAGGCTCGGAAGTGCTTGCACGGCTCGGAGGTGGAGACAACCACCGCAGGTATGCCAAGCTCCTGCACAACAAGCGTGGCTCGGAAGTTCAAGATCTGCTCTGGCCCTACTCATGCAATGCGGACTGGCTGCAAACACAAATGCGTTGAGTTTAGAGCAAAATGGACTCTAGAGCAGCTCACAGTATCCGGAAAGTATTCACAGCTAGCAGCAGCTGAAATTTTTCGAACAGCTAGCAGCCAGCACACGTAGCAGCAGGTAGCATCACGTAGCGGCTAGCGGCGGCTAGCGGCTAGCTAAAGTGACTAGACAGCTGCAAGAACAGGCTGAGCGGCGGGTCCTTGTACGCCGTGGCTTCTGTGCAGCCACCACTGCAGCAAGAAATTACTCGAATTTCCTGCTTGACTTCAGGGGTCTGGAAACCAAGAGCCCGGGAATGCTGCTCCAGCAATCGGGCCCACCAAATCTTCCCTGAGTAGCCCGGTCTCGGCTCGGGCAAGGTCTCACCATCACTGTCTGAGCAAAGAGCATCGGCCTCCTCCATCAGAGCATCGCTCGAGCTCTGGCTGTTGCACACACTCTCGGCAACGTTGCTCCACGCAGAAGTGCTCCCTGCTCCACACACACTTGTAGCTACGTTGCCCCAACCCATTGGGACTCCGGTGCCAGAAACAAAACAGTGTCGAAGCTAAGAGCCACACATTGCGCACGGGCGCTGTCGTCAAAATTGGAACTTGATTCAAAATGTCACCAAGCATGGGTTCAAGCAGGACACCTTGCGTGCATGATCCAGACTCGCCAAGAAGTGACTGTATTTCTCACAGGTTCGCGGTTAGCTAGGCAACTAGTGACTAATTTCTGCTAGTCTTGCTCGTCAGTCTGCCGCTACCTAGCAGCTGGCAGCTAGCAGCAGCTAGCAGCTAATTAGTTAGTTACCAAGCCTTCGAAGCAGTTTCAATGGGTTCAATGAATTGCAAGCTGCAAACCTTGCCACAACCAAACTTGCCAAACTGAGTACTGGCTTACTGAGTCACGTCGGCCCCAAGCCCAAGCCCTGTAGGCACTGCAGGCCTTATAGGCCCTAGGTCGGTACGTTGACTTGACTGCCTATACCTATACGATACGTCGTGTTAGTTTATACAGTACAGTACAGTACAGTGCACATCCGTCTCGAGTCCACCGAGACAAAAAATTCACGGCCTCTACGTCTACGTACACTCTCTACAAACCCTGCCCTACAATCTCTACAGTCATTAAACACAGATGCACCGCACTTTGCCCTGACACACTGTATACACTGTATACTGTATACATCAGAATATACCACAACATCACAACATGCTCTCAAACCTAATTCGTGTAAACATGTGAAAAATTCGTACGTCTCGTGTAGAGTGTAGCAGTGTAGCAGCAGTGTGCTGTAGGCACTGTAGTCAACTTAGTAACGGTAGTAATAGTAGAGTTGTCGCACTCGGCATACTCTGCGGGATGGGATGGAGTCTGATCTGGACGTTATCATGGTTGGCCCGTGGATGCTCTGCTGCTCTCATCTGTCTGATCTGGACGCTATCATGGTGGGCCCGTGGATGCTTTGTGGGTTCAGGTGGAGTCTGATCTGGACTCATCATGGTTGGCCCCTGGATGCTCTGCTGCTCTGCGGGATCGGATGGAGTCTGATCTGTCTGATCTGGAAGTTATCACGGTGGGCCCATTGGATTCAATCGTTGGATGCTCTGTGGGTTCAGGTGGAGTCTGATCTGGACATCATCATGGTTGGCCCATGGCCCATGGAAGCCATGGATGCTCTGTGGGATCGGATGAAGTCTGATCACTCTAATCTGGACGTCATCATGGTTGGCCCATGGATGCTGTGGGTTCAGGAATCTGATCTGGACTTCATCACGATTGCCCCATGGATGCTCCTGTCCTGCTCAGCGGAATCGCATGGAGTCTGATCAGGACGTCATCATGCTTGGCCCGTGGATGCTCTGAGCTGCTCTGCAGGATCGGATGGAGTCTGATCAGTCTCTGATCTGGACGTTATCACGGTGGGCCCATGGATGCTGTGGGTTCAGATGAAGTCTGATCTGGACACCATCATGCTTGGCCCGTGGATGCTCTGCGGGATCGGATAGTGGTGTCTGATCTGTCTGATCTGGACGTTATCATGGTGGGCCTATGGATGCTGCGGGTTCAAATGGAGTCTGATCTGGACGTCATCATGCTTGGCCCGTGGATCGGATGGAGTCTGATCTGTCTGATCTGGACGTTATCATGGTGGGCCCATGGATGCTGTGGGTTCAGAGGGAGTCTGATCTGGATATCATCACGCTTGGCCCGTGGATGCTCTGCTGCTCTGCGGGATCGGATGGAGTCTGATCTGTCTGATCTGGACGTTATCATGGTGGGCCCGTGGATGCTGCGGGTTCAAATGGAGTCTGATCTGGACGTCATCATGCTTGGCCCGTGGATCGGATGGAGTCTGATGAATCTGATCTGGACGTTATCATGGTGGGCCCATGGATGCTGTGGGTTCAGAGGGAGTCTGATCTGGACATCATCATGCTTGGCCCGTGGATGCTCTGCTGCTCTGCGGGATCGGATGGAGTCTGATCAGTCTGATCTGGACGTTATCATGGTGGGCCCATGGATGCTGTGGGTTCAAATGGAGTCTGATCTGGGCGTCATCGTGGTTGACCCGTGGATGCTCTGTGGGACCGGATGGAGTCAATGGAGTCTGATCAGTCTGATCTGGACATCATCATGCTTGGCCCGTGGATGCTCTGCTGCTCTGCGGGATCGGATGGAGTCTGATCAGTCTGATCTGGACGTTATCATGGTGGGCCCGTGGATGCTGTGGGTTCAGATGGAGTCTGATCTGGACATCATCATGCTGGGCCCGTGGATGCTCTGCTGCTCTGCGGGATCGGATGGAGTCTGATCTGTCTGATCTGGAAGTTATCATGGTGGGCCCATGGATGCTGCGGGTTCAAACGGAGTCTGATCTGGACGTCATCATGCTTGGCCCGTGGATCGGATGGAGTTTGATCTGTCTGATCTGGACGTTATCATGGCGGGCCCATGGATGCTGCGGGTTCAAACGGAGTCTGATCTGGACGTCATCATGCTTGGCCCGTGGATGGGATGGAGTCTGATCTGTCTGATCTGGAAGTTATCATGGTGGGCCCATGGATGCTGCGGGTTCAAATGGAGTCTGATCTGGACATCATCATGCTTGGCCCGTGGATGCTCTGCTGCTCTGCGGGATCGGATGGAGTCTGATAAGTCTGATCTGGAAGTTATCATGGTGGGTCCATGGGTGCTGTGGGTTCAGATGGAGTCTGATCTGGACGTCATCGCGGTTGACCCGTGGATGCTCTGTGGGATCGGATGGAGTCTGATCAGTCTGATCTGGACGTCATCATGGTTGGCCCATGGATGCTTTGTGGGATCGGATGAGAACTCTGATCTGGATTCTGGACGCTTCCATGGTTGGGCCATAGTGCCATAGTATAGATTCCGTGGTCGAGTGGAGTCTGAGCTGGACTCTGGTCGTTATCATGGTTGTGACTTTTGTAGAATCGTAGAAGTTTCAGCAAAGGGTAATCAGTAATCATTTCCCACAGCACGAATCTAGAAGGAATTTCCATGCCCGGGGCCACTCAAAAAGGTCATATTTTTTTCATATTTTTTGGTTAAAATCCGCCAGCCCAAAACCATAAGTTTTTCATAAATGATTTGAACCAGGTTTTCGAAATCATAAATCCAAATCGTAAATATTTCATATTATTTTCATAAAAGAATTCATTTTCAAAAATGCCTCCGCCTCCAGGGTCGGGAAGTCTCAAATATAATACATGTATATATATATATGCATACATAGCGCATCTTTCTTTGTATTCATTTATACTTATTATCTAGGAGCTTGTCTTAGGCTCTAGCGTTCCGAATGTCAGCCTTGCGGGTGTTTGGTGGTTCAGAACTCAGAGGGGTTACGGCATCTCGGTATCTCTGACTGGTCTCTTGCTCGTGATTACTTCTTTCTTTCTTTGACAGGGCCTGCTGTCCACAGCTGCATCTGAAGTCTTTGTGAAGAGCCTCTTGTCTCTGTGGGTTAACATCAGGCAGCGGCAGCCGCTTCTGGTCTCGGCCGTCCGTCTGCGCAGTATGTGGCTCTGTGGGTGTACTGGCACGACCGTGCCGAAAGAGGCTGTTCTACCTTGCCCTGTCTGTTAAGGTACGAGACTCCCAAAAAAAGGGAATATAGCCGTACATGCTATAGACTTGTACAGAAGGCTGGATAAGTATGAAACCTGCTGCCTTTATATGGACACTCTGCACATGCCCGCGTCTGAAAGCTGCATTAGGAGAAGATGCCCGATGGTTCAGGGTTTGGGGTTTAGCTTTACAAAGCTGGGGTCAGGATCTGAGACGACAAACACGATCAAAATGCAAGCCTCCTGAAAGATCCGGCTTCGAGGGAGTCAGCCGAAGAATCGGGGATACGACGAAAACCGAAGTGGATTCGAGACTTGAAGCCCCTCCTTCGCGCAGGCCACGAGCAAAGGAGTGTAACCACCACCATCCGCTGCCTCCAACCTGCGACTGGGACAGGGAGAGATGGATCTGGGGATTGTAGCGACTCTGCTTCTTATTCGCTTCAGGGCGTCTCTCTCCGTCTCCATTTTTCGCTCTCTCTCTTGAAGCCAAAGCCCCGCTAAACCCCTCTAAGATAGGGGCCTTAATAATTAGAATAGGGTTTTGGGGCCAGTATACTATAAATATAAAAATGAACCCCGCGAAATAGTGCAGGTAATTACTGAGGCCCCTACATTAAACCCCAAACTCTTGAATCCCAAACCCAAACCCGAGCAGAGCCGAAAAACGGCGCGCGAGCGGAAATCAACAGCGAAGCAAAGGCCGCATCGCCCCGAACCTCGCATGGTCGGTGGATGATGCTAACACACCAGCAAGGTATGACTGTTTGTTTGTTTGCTCTGGTACGACCGGGGATCGACAATGCGGAAGGAGCTGGCTTGAATTTGGGTTGTTGGAGAGGAGGGTTGGGGTTTAGGGATTAGATATTACTGTAGGGTTCAGGGGAGAAGGATTAGGGCTCAGGCTCTGAGGGTATATTGCGAGGCTTCAAAGACGAAGCGGATACCCAGAAGTTATTCACGGCTGTTTCACTGGGCTTCGGCCCTGGGGCCGCAAACGTTTATAGTGAACCCCGGAAGTTTGAAACATGGATCTAGGATGATTACTACCGGGATAGCCTACACTGTACTTGAAGGGCATGAGGATACTGATGTTCCAAGGGTCCAGCTTCCACCGTCGTTTTTTTGAAGACATCATCTTGTCTTGTAACGCATGGCTGTACCCCACCCGTGTGACATTGCCAGGTGCAGGCCTCCGGGCATCCATGACATAGACATATACATGTTTATATGGATATTTTGTTCATATCTACGCTGGACGTAGAACGGCGTTTGGTTCGAAGAACTCCTGCAGTCTTGACATCCTGAAGATGCTCCCAGGA